TTATACAAGCACATCATATATACACCTATATATACATATTCGATTCGTAAAGCTTAACGGAAAACAAAACAAAAAAAAAAAAAAAGAAAAGAAAAGGGAAATAAGAGCAAGGAAAGCATAAATAAAAGAAAAAATAAAAATAAATCAACACATATTCCTATAAATTTATTTATATATTTATATACATATTGATATGAACGATAAAACACATACACACTACCCCACACACACACACACACATCCAAACACTCAAGCAAGCAATTTTAATACGCAAAACAAAATTTAGTCACTAAGCAAACCTTTAAAAATTAATCTGTAATAAAAACGAAGTCAAAAATTAAAAATCAAATCTCTCCGTACGGCGATTTTGCAATGGAATCAACTCCACTATATCTAACATATGCATATAATGAATTAGTTTTTTGTTATTTATTTGCGTCAATTTCTTAATAAATTAATTAGTAATCTTTTTTTTTTTAATTTGTGCACTTCAAATCGAAACAAAAAACTCAACCCAATTTAGTTGCGTAAACTTAAAATGGAAATTTTGTATGATACATATGAAATATATACATATATACATGATTCTTGGGCATTTTCGATGGGGCTCAGATTTTCAACTTTTAACAGAATATCTAGAGATCTGTTGCTTGGGGTATGGACTTATTTTGTAGCTTAACGGCTACATATTGGATAAAGTTTTAAATTTAGAAAATCGATGATAAATATCTGGCATCCCTCCTTCTAAAAATTGGCAACTCTGTGCGCAATGCAGCTCTGTTATAGACCGTTAGTCGTGTAACCGTTAGATCTTTAAAGTTTAAATTTACATTTAACTTATATCTTGTAGTTAAAAGCAATTTTTAAATAACAATTGGATTGTTTTCAATTGATTTATTAAATTTCTTAAATTTGTTGGTAAAAAAAAACATTAAATTGCAATCAATTTAGCCGCACAATGCAATAAGTCTGAGGGTCACCAGGTTCTGATTGACTGGCTGACAAATGGCTGTGGCCACCCAGCCCCATTGCCACATTGCAACGCCCACGAGCCAGTAGCCAGTAGCCACTAGCCAGTAGGCACCTGCAACGTGTGCGAAAATTGGTGCCAACTGTCATAACAAGATGGAGCACACACATATATGCACTCGGTGGCACCCGGGAACAATGGGGCGTGGCAGTGGGCGGGTACTTTGTTGGCGACCAACTGCCTCCGTCAGGCAATAATAATTCGCCAGTCATTGACAATGTCGGTGCCATAATGGCTCTCCACTCTCCACTCCGGCTCCCCATGCCCTCCACTTCGGGGAGTGGTTACTGGACTGGACTTATCTTTGGTACCATCCATAACCCTCCTTCCATCTCCGGTCCTTTGGTGCACTGCGTCGACGACGTTGACAAAAACGAAATGACAGAGGGCGCGCACACCCGACACCTACAATTGTCAGCGTCGTCTAAATGAATGAATTAAGTCAGCCATGTGACATAACTGCAATGGCTGGACCCGAACCCTGACACCACCCCCCCCCCCCTGTGTAACCCCCTAGTTGGGGCCCTGAAGTAAAGAGCCTCTGCCACGACAGCAAAAGTAGGAACCACCATTGCCACCAGTACTACCTCTACCTCCACCAAAAGCCAACCCTGCACATTTGCCACATTGTTTCGTTGCTGTCATTCTTGATGTCGCTGCACTGTGGTCCAGTTCTACGCATATTTTTGTACTTTGTAAAATTATTTAAAGTTCAAAAGGTTTATTTTGTTTCGGCTTTCAACCATTCGCATATCTTACAAAAGAATAATAGTCTCAGATAAATGGGTAATTTTTAAGAAAACGTGAATTCTTCAATATAAGCATTTCTTTGCTCATTTCTAGTCAGGAACTTATTATTTATTTAATAAAAATATGCGCAGAACACTTTTAATATTATTAATATTATTGTTGTGATACTTGAAATATATTATTATTTCCTGTAAATTAGTGGGGAATTTAAACAAGTCAATATCCTTTTTATTAATATGTATGTATAAAATAATTTATACGTTTTTTTGTCACAAAAATGTTTTTTAATTTTTAATATTTTATTTGCTGACCGTTTTGATATCCTGGATTTTAAGACCACTGTGCTTCGTCACTGCTGTTGTGATTACGTACTGCATTTGGTGCACAATGGACAACGACGATGACAATGACGCCAGCCAAGTTATATGGCACACACGTAGGGCAACTCCAGTACACACCCACGTCGGCATCTCGACCTCCGCCTTCGCCTCCGCCTCCACCTCAATTTCCCCCCGCTACTGCTCCTGCACTATCCACCTTGTCATTCCAGCCCACTCTGATCCCCATCCCCATCCCCATCCCCATCCCCATCCCCATCCCCATCCCCATCCCCATCCCCATCCCCATCCCCATCCCCATCCCCATCCCCATCCCCATCCCCATCCCCATCTCCATTCCCATTCCCATCGCATCCAATTCAGCCCGGCCAAACGACTTGGCGCAGGACAATGGCGGAATGCAAATGGCACACGGACGTGGACGTGGGATAGATGAACACGGCGCGAAAATTTATATGCAACTTTGGCCGTTGGACTTGGGCAATCAGGCGCAGTCCAGGAGCACGAGGAGGGAGGGTACTGAATCCATCGGTACGGAATTTGGAATCCGGAATCCGGGGCAGCACGTAGCCAACTTGCCCGGCAATTTGTGGCAGTGCAGACGGGACTCTCGGCCGGCCGCCAATTAAGCAACAAAAGGGCCGGGTTGCCATTAAAACGGAGCGACGCTGCGAAATGTTTGTGACGAAACGAAATGAAACCAAACGAAACGAAACAAAACGAGACGTACTGCCCCCCCAAACTCAATCCGGGTCTGCAACTTTCTCCGCCGGATTTTTTTTTAGCTCGTATACTGGCTGCACATTTCGCAACAAAGTCGCCAGCAGCAAAGTAGCAAAAGCAGTTGTTTACAGAGGCAAAAATACAATAATAAACAATAAAAAATCGAATTTAAAAACCAAACAATTTTAAATTGAGGCTAAGACCTGGAGCAAGTTTTCAAAGTTGCCATAAAAATTACTCATACGACACATATGCTAGTACGAGTATATTTATTTATTTATGGCTAACCTGCTCAAGCGGAAATTATCGTTCATATTTTAAAAATATCTTATTGAAAGTATTTAGCGAAACATATTTGCCAAATTCTCCTTCTAAAGTTATAATATTTAACTATAGTTATAAGATCGTGACCAGAATACCAGCAAAGAAAACAAGCTTTTAAAAAGTTTTAAAATACCTCATGACTTTATAAAAATTGTAGAAAAATATTAAATGATTTTCTTTTCCTACAACAAATTCGTATCATCCTTAATAACTATACATTTGTTTTACATTCACTTAATTAAGCTAATTTTATATGATTTTTTTCGATGCATAAGCTGGAAAAACGGTTTGCCAAAGTCGCTAACTTTATGGCTCCAACTCGGGGCTTTCAATTTCCTTTTTGCATTTTTATTGTTTAGCGAATTGTGTTAGGACAACTGAAGGCGGCTGCATCGGACCAGGACCAGAACCATGACCAAGTCCCGTGCCCAACAAGTGGATGGCCGACCTGACCCCGCCAAACGCTGCTCGTTAGCAGAAAAAAATGGAATTGAGATGGTGGGGGTAGTGACTGGAGCCGCCATGTGGATGGTCTAATTTACTAAATTGCCGTCTGAGGCGCCTTAACCGAAAACTTCACACAATTTTCACTTAATTAAAAAATACACGATTCCTCAGGTCGTTAACAATTAAGTAGATGATTTAATGAATTCGGCAATTTGATCACATTAAGCTTAGCAAATACGGCAATATTAAAGATTTTTTAAATTTAACGTTATTTTCTTTAGCTAAATCAGCTTTAGCTTTTACTTATTTAGTTGACAAAGTTGGTACTCAAAGCGTCTATGACAATACTTACAAAATTAATATTAATTACAATTCCTCCAGCTGCGACAAATAGTCAACATCTAATTACATTAAAAGTTCAAAGGGCACATCACTTCGTGTGCTTTAAAGGTTGGCACTTAAGTGTGAATTTGAAACTTAAACTTTGTGCTTATCCTGTTGATTATCTTTGCAGAAATTCGTTAAAAACTTGTACATGGGTTGGCATAAAGTTGGAAAGAAAGTTTCCAAAGGAGTTTTGCTGTTTCTGTTCAGCTTATGTATGTTTTCATTTTTGGTCTTCTTACATGTGGTTACAACAATTTTGGTCCTTCATGTGTCGGTTGATATGTACTTGCAAGCAATGGTTGTTTTAAACGTGTTAATATTGTCTCCCTTCGCTTGAAAAACAAACTGTAGATTTCTGTGTACATATCCACAGGCAATGTTTAGCATGCTCTTCAGTTATTAGTTATTAGTTATTGATAACAACAGTGAAAACTTAATTAATATATTTTTTGGGGACATTCCCCTTTTGGTTAAAAACTGCGTATTGATAAAACTTGTTCTGGTTTTAAATTTTCTGTGATACTCGCTTTCTGGAAAAAAGGGTTGCCAACTGAACGAAAAGATGCTGCTGCAGTGTGACCAAATTCACATTTAAGTTATCCTTATCGTGATGCTCAGGTCTATGCTAAAAACAAATATACTTACATGCAATATATCTTTGACTCCTTCTTGCGTTGCAAACTGCCAATCCAATTAGTTTGGACAGTGTAAACAAGGAGCTTGAGCTCCACTCACATGTGGCCACCGGGCAATAAAAATGGAAGCAGCACAAGCAACAATTTAGCAACAACAACCACAGCCAAGAACAACGGTCAGTGTTGTTAGATTTCAGCAGAAAAATAAATAGTACACTTTTTAAAAGTGTAGAGTTAAATATTAAATATTAATTTAACTATAGTTTCGATTTTTGATCAAAGTCCTGGGAAATAGTAGTCAAATGATGGAATGTTAAATTTGTAACTAAATTTTCTATCGATTGTCATAAGTCGTGTTTTAAAATCCTGAAGAATATAGCTTAAAACTTTTTGACATTTTGCCATTCAACTGGCATTAATGGTAAAAAATTTAATTTTTGATCAATTTTTGAAAATAGACATGATGAAACCCCTTATAAAAAAATGCGAAAATCGTGTTAAATAATATTTAAAAATAACGAATTTTTAAAATGCGTATGTCGGAAAAAGCAGCATTAAAAAACAGTATTCCTTTTGATATTTACTGCTATTGCAAAGGATTTAGCGGCAAAAAGGCCAAACTGGCCACACAGGCAGCAGCAAGGGCCAGCGATCCGGGACTCAGACAGAGGACACACACAGATGTGCATCTGTGCACGCACACAGGCACAGGATTGGAGAGCAGAGCTAAGGAGAAGGAGAAGGAGGATGCTGACTCAGTCCAGTGGACGTTGGACATAGACGCCTCCAGGCCTCCAGGATGTGGGACTAGGAATAACATTTTTATTTTTTCCGCATTTCTCTGCCTCTTAACTATTTATGAGGTCGAGTTGTTTGTGCAGTTTGATTATTTTGCTGGCAGCAGAGCAACGGTAACCTGTGACTTTTCATAATTTAACATTTTGGCAGCAAAAGAAAGGGACGGCGAGAGAGTGGGCGATCGCAAAGGGAGTTGCCGGCGTGTGAGTGTAAAGAGATCGCCTAGCTGCGGGAATATTTACTCGAATATATGAAATAATTTTTTTTTTTAATTAAAAATTGCTTACTGCAACTGCAGAGTCATAAAAAAAAATGAAGGGGAGATGCACACAACCATAAACGAAATCGATTTTATTTGTATAAATTGGAATTGGTTTCAACACAGTTATGAATAAAATGCAAAAATCCCAATAACAATAACGAGCTGAATGAAGGACGAGAACAGTGGACATTGCTAACGAGAATTAAAATGTGTAAGTTATTTTGATACCATAGACCAAATACCATAGCACAAAAAAAGCCATTTAAATAACGTTTTTTTTCAAGAGTCGGACGATTCTAAACTTTCTTTTTGGACCAATTTCTAATGTATTAGTTGCTTTTGATGAGCAGATATAAGAATTAAACTCGGAACTGATAGGCTTCTTCTGCCAATTGCAGGATAATACAATATTTATATAACCAATTTCCACTGTAATAATCGAGATGAAACCGCAAAGGAGGTTTTGTGGTTGCTGCTGTTGCAAAAGTATTTTATTGTGGCCATCGAGGAAGCTGTTGTTAACTGTTGCCCAATGAGATGACGAATACGATGATGATAATGATGATGACGACGGAGAGGGAGCCCGATGCACCAGTTCCCCCCGAGCCGTTGCCAGCTTTAATTAAAAAGTTACCTGGCAAAAATGTTTTAGCTATTTGCCTGGCAGCGATGGCAACCTGACCTGACCCTCGCCCAACCTCTGAGCCACAGGAATTTTTGCACATAAAAAAATATTGATTTGAAATCAGGGTAAGACTTAACTTTAATTCATATCATATAAAAACTTGTATGGTAGATGTCAAGTAAATACAGTGAAACTTCTGTAAATAAAACTAGCAACCGCCAGTATTCTAGTAATAGGATTGATTTTACCTTTTTTATCATCTCTGTTGCTAATAAAACTTTAAGCTATGAACGTTCGAAAATACCACTTTGATTTTTTTAAGCATATCAACTTAATCTATTTGGCATTTTTTTAAACAATTTTACAGTTTAAAAAATATTTTCTAAAAATCAAATAGATGATCAAATCTGAAAATAAACATATTATTATTGTTTTTAAAAATTACGAATATAATTTTAAATCAAAAGTCGTTACTCATGATAAAGGTGTTTTATAGAACAATTCATTTAAGGTTTTTAGTTTTTTTTTTTGCTTAATATCAAAATTAATATTATTAACGTCAAAATAATGTGAGATAAGATCAATAATATTGATTTTTTTGCGTGTGAGCCCTCTGAACCAATGTAACCGAGCTGCCAGTCAGCGGCTCTTTTGCTGCTACTGCGGTGCAGGCGAAACTTTCTATTGGATTCACTCCGGCTTCTGTTTCTGTTTCTGTTTCTGTTTCAGTTCCTAGTCCTGTGCCGTGCCCCATGGCCCATGGCCCATGCCAATACTTCTACTTACCATTTGATTCCAGGGAAGCAGGTATCGATATCCCGTGTAAACTTCGATTGACAGCCTGCAGCCAGAATCGGAATGGCAGCGGAAAAGGTAACGAGCGTTCGATTGGATTGGATTTGGGGTCGGATTGGTTTCTGTTTCATTTTCTGCAGCTTCGTTCATGCAGCTTTTAGTTTGCAAATCCATTTCATTTCGAATTTGACCTGCCCCTAAATGTATGCTATAAAAATGCATTTTGATCATGTCATTTGAAAGTCCTCAAATGGCAAGGGAATAACACTTAATATTTACATAAAATAAAAAAAGAGAGAATTAAAACAGCTAATCGTAAATATTTCAAAAATATTTCAAACATATTTCATTATCAGTATTACCATACACAAAATATTTTTCAAACTCTGATGTCTAAACAGGAATTTTTACTTACAATAATTATAGTCAAATGAATCTTGCCAAATCCATAAAAAAAAAATTAAAAGAGTTTCTGCCCTTCATTGAATCAAAATTTATTTCAGCTTAAATTGCTTTGGGAATTGGTCCGTCAAATTTTCCCTGCTGCATATTTTAAAAATCATAAAATTTTATAGCATAAACGCGGTATTTGTGCCGGAATGTCACAGCCTATATATATACATAAATTTTACAACGATTCGGCCGCTTACGAAATATTGCATTTGAATAAAGTTCCTATGGCTCCCGCGGGAAAGTGAGTGAAAGTGGGCGCCATTTGGGACGGATGAGATGATGAAGTTCTCTGGGGTGCGATTTTCCCGGTTTGCAGAAAAGGTCCTGAGAATGAAGTCGAGTCAAGCTACTCAAGGCGATGGAGAATTTTTTAATGATGTTACTTTCAGGAGAGCTCTCAAATCGTTTGAATACAAATTGTTCGCTGACTCCTCGATGTCGTCTTTCCTCGTTTCCCTGCTCATATATATGTTGTCTGTTTCTCCCTCTTGCATTTCTCGGGATGTATTCATGAATTCTTTATCTATATCTCAGCTTGCTTTGCCAGTTGGCAAGTTGTGAAAGTGAAATGCGAGACATGTTCCCCGAAAATCCTTGAGGCTGCGAGAAATGCGGGGGTTTTTGTTGGGTGGTGGCCATTGTCAATGAACCCCAAAGTTATCCCAGCTATGCAAAATATATGCAAACTGCACAAGCTAAGCACACTTGGCAAAAAAATAGTATTTATTTTAAGGAGCTGTATTGTGATTATTAGCTATTGTTCAGTTTTCTTAATATATCTTTTGGGAACGTGTGATTTTCAAAGGTCCAAATTAAATCTTCACGTTTTACTTAAGATAAGTAAAAAGTAAATAAAAAATAAAAAATTGTTTATAAAAAAAGAATGCATCACCATACATTAAAAAACATATTAGGCAGTTTAAGAAACTTTTAAATAAAATATATAAATAGAAAAATACTTGAAAAAATGAAGAACAACATTTTTCGACAGAAAAACAACCTCACTATACGTTAAACAAAAAAAGAAATTTATAATTTTAAGAAAATTTTAAATAAAATGTTTAAAAAGTAAAATACTTAAAATAATTTAGAACGAAATTGTTTACAAGAAAGGAAAACCTCAACATACATTTTTATAAATCCAATTTAGCCACTTTATTAAAAACCCTTAAATAATATATTTGTAATTTGAGCTAAGTTTATAATTTTCAATTTATTAAATATGCATATGTCTTATTTATTTTCCAGTGCACACATATGGACCAACCCAATTTGAGGTATCGAAGGAATGTCGGAGCTTGTCAGACCCCCACTTCCATTTCCCCGTGCTCCGGCCAGGTGACACAACATTCCCAAGACGGAATGCAGCCGGGTCCGGGAAAGTGCGTCAGGTGCGGTGTGTTTGATGCGTGAAGCCGCGTAAAGTGGGATGTGGATGTTGGGATCTGGGCTGTGGGATGTGATGCCAACCAGGCCAGATCCCAGATCCATCTCAATTACCTCGCCTTAACTCACTAGCGAAGCGAAGGGGGAAGCAGTTCAAGTTTGAGCTGTTCAGTTTGAGGTCGCTTATGAAACTACTATCTTGGCCAGAACTTGGCATCGAATTTGGCCCGCATGTGCAGCCCCGACTGGAAGTTCAAGTTTGAGTGGTTCACCTGTGAAGGAGACTGCGATTGAAGTTTTAATGTTCGACGGTCCTGGCTGAAAGTTGAAGCAATTACTCGTAAGATAGAAAATTTTTAGCAAACCATAACTGGTTGGGTTATGATGAGAAAATATTACATATATTCTGGTATTTCAGAAGGTGATTTCTGACATTTGGACAATAATAAATCATCGAAATTGTAGTAAACAACTTTAACATAAAAAAATGGCATAATTGAAGAAGCTCCTCTGCTTACATTTCCTACATTAGATATCAGCACCAAAATGTGTCAATTTAGTTTTTTTGTTTAATCGTGAATAAATAAATTCAACCCTGATTGTTATGGTGACACTTGAATACCAAGAGTATCGGATGTAATAAAGGGCAGGCAAAAAGCGAATAAACACAGACCGCAGCACATGTGCTGATGTTCCTGTGTGTCGCTTATATTTGCCATTAATCAGGCATATCCATTTACATGTGATGAACTTTATCCCTTAACCTGTTTACATGTAAATTACTTGCTGCTCATTTTATGTTGCTCGACGAGGAGAACTCACAAACAAACATATGCACAGCTGGCAAACACACAAGCACAGTCCAACTTTCATATCTCGAACATTAATCTGTTTTAAGACAACCTCAATAAATTTTTGTTTAGATTTAAACTGGGAACCAAAAACGTCTACATTTCAATGTTTCTGCATGGCTTTTAATCGACGATTTAGTCAGGGTAATTTAATAATATAAGCCCAGAGATCAAAACTAGTCGTAAGTTGAGCTCTTTATTTTTAAAAGACTATAGGAAATTTTACTTGTTTTGTATTAACTTAGTTTTAAATAATTTTTTTAACTTAAAATATGTACATATGTATAGGTATATTTATTTGTTTTTTAATTAGGTTGTTCTTTTGTGGACAAGAGAAAAAGAACGACATTTAAAAATATATTGCATACTTTTCGAGATACAAATAACAAAATTCTTCACTTGGAATTTGACCTGTACATATGCAAAATGCTGCATTAATAATTGAGATTCTGACAATGCCAGAGCGTTGCAGTGCATTTTTCATATTTACCTTCATATGGCGCCAGAAAGAGATGGCATAGTTTACGGGTTAAATAATATCAAGCATATGCAATTGCCATTACATCCTTGTAATTGCCAAAATAATGGGAATTATGCGTATGAGAGAAAGTCAACATGGTGGCAAACAGGGGCGAGCGGACTGTCGGACGGACGGACGGAAGGACAATCCGTCGGGCGGATAGTTAATTGAGCTGTTGGCTGGCTTACAATTCAAATTGTTGCCTTTGTTGTTGGCGTCATTAATGCGAGTGTTGGCACTTTCGCACGCACCTCTCGCTCCCTCCACCGCCTTTCTCCTTTCGCCAGCCTCCCGTCTCTTTTCCGCGCCAAAGTTTACTGGTAAACACATTCATAAAGCAAATATGCAAACCCTTACTTACAGCCAAGGACATGCAACTAGTCGTGGGGAGTAAAAAAAATGGCTTTAGGTAGGAATAACAAATGTTATTACTTTATTTCATTAAATCTCTTTAGATTTCGATTTAAATAAGGCATTGCACTATTTATTTTAATGGTTAAGTGCTAGAACTTTATTTTTAATGGTACATACATACTGATACTCATAGGGCAGGTCCTGTCAAATATTAAAAACCATTCTCTTATTGTTATTTAGTTCTCAAACATTGTTATTAATAATAAAAGTTATTAAAATGTGACAATTTAAATTAGTTCGTTTTATTCGTCCATAGTAATTATTAGATTTTAGTAAATTAATAATTTAAATCATTTGATTGCATTCAAAAAATCAGTAAATCATTTAGTAAACTTTAATGAGCTTAAATATACCTAAAAAAAAAGAAAAAATGTTTTTAAAAAATATCATAAATCAGTTTAAACTGGTGAATATAATTTCTTAATTCCACAAGCTTTTTACAAGGCAACTATTGCCCTAAACGCCACTGTTCATACACACGCACACGTGAACCAGTGATGCCCATGTCGATGGCAGCAGACATATGCTAAACGAGCCGAAGCCTCTCCCCCCGGATTCTTTCCCCCCACTCCCACGCCTCCCCATGCCACCCCACCCACTCCCCTTGCAATCCCTTCGCTGGAGCCGAAGTCTGGAGCCGAAGGGAAACGAAAGAATGACGAGTCCTCGGCTGGCGGCGCATATAAAAGCCGCTGATGGCTGCGCTGTCGGCTGCATTCTGCGTTCGGCTGGCGTAGGACGCTCTCCACTTTCACTCTCGCTCTCTCCCCGCGCGACTTCTCTCTTGAAGTCCCAGCAAAGCGTAGCGCGCCAAAAAAAGCGCGCGCAAAAACAAAAAGCCAACTAACGGGACAAAAGTCGCGCGCGACTCGTAAGCTTGTTTACTTTGCCATTATAAATCCGGCGGGTGCTTTGTTTGTGTTTGTGTTGATGTTGGTAATTCCCTGTGTTCCCCCTTTTTTTTGCACTTCTGTGCTCCACATTATTTTCTGTTTTTTTTTGTTGTTGCTCAAACAGTGCCCAAGAAATAACAGGAACAAAAGCTAGTAAAACAAACGGGAATTTGCAAAAACGGAAGCGTAAGAGGAAAAGTGTTGCATTTCCGTCGCTCCGTCGAGTTGGTGTTTGCTGCTGCCATTTGCTGTTGCCGTTAGTCTCTCCATTACCGTTAGCATCTTGGTCGCGGCAAAATGGCCGCAGGTGTTGCCCAAAAAAAAAAAAATTAAAGTACAGGCAAACTTCCCCAAGTAAAACCTCCGTTTGAAATATACCTTTAAACTTATGAAAGATATTGCAGAAGCTGATCCTCATATAATTTACCAAAACTAAAGCGCGAATGCTTCGGCACTAGGAAACTTACTTCATTTTTTAATCGTTAGGGTCGTGATTTCTTTTCTCTTACCTTTTTTTTTCTTTTATCACAAACTTAAATATTAAATATAACATGAAACTTTCATTCAACAACATATTGGTAATGTTTGCTGGTACTTAACTTTTGTTAAGTTCCTTTGAAAACTACATTTTTGGGTGCACCAAAAAAAATTAATTTCGAATTTTATTAGCTCTACATATTTTGTCTTAAATATATTCAGTCTTAACCTGGTTTCAAAAATTAATTAAAAAATAGCATAAATTTATTTCGAAATTTCAGTAATCAAATTTCAGGTTAGGAAGGTTCTTTTTATGGAATTTTAACTGTAGCACAAAAAGCAGATCCGACAGGAAACAAAAGAGGACGGGGCAAGAGATATACATAGAACAGAAACCGCAATGGAAAGTGCCTGGGGAAAAAAAACACCCAAAATGGCATCATAAAATCATTTAATTGATGATTTAGTGCAGTTCGTGATATCAATATAAAATTTACCATTATCAGCCATGTTAGCACCGCCCCCAGTCAACCGAACAAAAAAATGGTTTTTCGTTCTTTTATACAAGCATATTTCAAACAACTGGACGGGGGGGGAAGCACCTGCGTTAAACATTTATGTTTTTAGCACTTTCTGCTGTCAATTTGACACTCCTGCACTTAACAATGCAAAGTGGGGAAAATCGTAAAACGTCTGAGGCTCCAGCGAAGCAAATGAAAATTAAAATTAAAAGCACGTCTGGAACTCTTTATACGTTGACACTTTTCATAAAAATATATTTTTTGCCCAAATCCTGCGAGTTGTAAGCTTTTTGACTGTTAATGCGTATTTAAAAAGAACGCTTTTATGACTTTAAAGAGGGTTGCCGTTTTTTAAGGTGTTTAATATAATAGTTTTGATTGATGCAAAAAACTAGTTACAGGTAAACTGCTAAAAAGTAGGAAAGCTTATAAATCCCTCACCATAGTGAGTGGTGCTATTTGATAAACCAATCAAAATGGAAATTGCATTCTCTAGTGATAGAACGCAATGAAAAAACCTTTTTATACACTCGTGCAGAACTTTTCAAGTTTTGCTTAAAAAAAAGAAGGAATTTAAGTACTTTGGCAAAGTATTTCGGCGTGTGGCGCGGTGCAGAGAAGCTGGCTAAAACTTTTGGCACAAAGCGTTTGAAATTTCATTTTAATTCGTTTTCAATTTGGTCTAAAAAACCGCAGGGCAAACTTAATGCCTCGAGGATTGCTTAACTCATGCCCGAGTTGACAGCAAATACGCAGATACCCCGCAAGCCGATTAAACGTGGCACGGTTTTGGGTTTGTGTAGCTCAGCTCCATGGGTATTCATTGGCCAAAGTTCATTCACAGCAGCTAATTTGGCGGATTCCTCAGCCAAAATACTTTTCACAAAAGAAAACGATACGATACTCAAGGAGATAAAGAGCAATTTTGCATAAGTTAAGCCGTTTAAATAACTTAATTCATCTTCTACATGAGTTTCACTTGGTTTAAATATATGCTTCAGCGCAACATAAATTGTTCGTGTGGTTTGAAATTTTAATCAAGCAAAGTGTCTGCCGCTTTTACCTCTTAACAGAAATATTCAGGAAACAATTTCATTTCAGAGCCAATACTTAATAGTACTTCATATAAATCATTAACGTGTTAAATATTTATGTGCGGTTCATGTAAACCAATATCTTGTAACATGTCATTAATATTATTTACTCTTGCAATATAAATACTTAACTCGATTCGCACTGCAATTCGGTTATGATATTTCTTGCCAACATCTTCTTATTTCGTTGGAAACTTCCTTGGACAGTTGTATTCCTCTAAGTCTGGTTTTTTCCGACAGACGTTTAATTGAAAATTTCTAGGTTCTGCAGAAAAGGCGTTAGAAATGCTCTTGTGTTATTTAATCTGCTACAAATACCAATCTGTTGAAATGAAAACTACATTCAGGGAATTCCATACAAATATAAGACCAAAAAGGAAAGTTTAGTTAAAGTTTTGTAACTTATACATGGTTCTAAATGACTTTGCTCAGAAAAAAAACCTTTGTATTCAATGCCAAGTTTGTGTAATGGAAAAGACATTAATTTATAAAATAGCTTTAGTATTTAGGCAAATAATAGTACTAAGAATGTATTTTTTTTAACAGGAATTACTAGAAGAACAAAAAGTATTCTTGCTCTATAGCGAAAATAGAGAGAAATTTAAACTAGTTTGGAAGTTTAACAAATTTTAAAACGGATGCTTTCAGTAAAGCCTGCAGATTTCGATATGCAACTTGCCTAAACGATAAAGTTACACTTTGGCACTTTTACTTTCCAACCAAGAAGTTGGATGACTTGGGAAAGTAAACCGCAAACTGATTAATGCCATTTATGCCCGACAAATCCGGCGTTATGTACCCAGATTTCCAAGGCTGTTAAAGGGGCGAAAGTGGGTGGGTGAAAGTGAGTTACACGTCGCCGCTGTGATGGTGGCACGTTGAAAACTTTTTCGGAACAAGTTGAAGGATGTGCAAGAAGTCCGACGAGTCGTAAAACGAGGTGCTGTTGCAAAGAGCAACGCCACGAAAATTGTAAATGCAGGCAGGCCCATTAAATTCGCCCAGCGGCCATCAGAACAGCACCAACCACTCGTCCCCAGACCAACATAAACTCCACCCAATTTACAATATAATAAACCCCCTCCCCATCCTAACCATCACGTCGATGGCGCCAGATAAATTTGTCATGTAAATACAATACAATGAACGTGTAAACATTTATTATGTGCTTACAATTTTGTTGTTGTCAAGCTCAAATCCGTCAATTGTTTGATTTAAATTGTACACGGTTTTGTTTTGTTATACCCGCTATTCGCAAATCAAATTTGGGTCTGTTAAATTAAAGATAATCGTGTTTTTTAAAACTCAGCGTAAAATAATATATATTTTTTCAGACCGACATCGTATATATTAATAAGTTACAACATTGAAATACACAAATTTGAAGAGTAGATTCATATTGGAAGAAAATATGAAATTTAAATATAGCGATGACATGTTTTACACAAAGAAAGTATTCCTCGTGAACTTTCTAAGCAAAGCGTAATATAAAGTCCATATACTCCTAAAGTTTGATTTATTTTCGGTTTCGTTTGATGTGTGATTTCATGTAAACACATCACCAATTTCATTTCCAAATAAATGGATTTCCCCTATCAATGATTTTGCAACATCAACATTTGCAGCAGCAACAATAGCAAATAACTCGAAACCATTGGCAATTAGCGATAAACGATATCCCAGAAACGATAAACGAAATCAAAAACTGATCAGCAACTCCGGCAATCTGCTAAAAATGCTTAAAATGCCGCTGCAGTTGAGCAGTCAAGATGGCAGTTGGCCCCATCAGCAAAAACAGCAACAACTTCAGCAGCGACAGCGACAGCGGCAACAACAACAGGCTTATCACCATCAGGACCAAAAGCAAAAACAAGTGTTCCAAGGACGTTCGCCGGCGTTGCTGCCAGTGATGCTGCTGCTCATGATGGCCACGCTCCTCACGCGTCCACTGAGCGCCTATTCCAACCGTAAGTAGAAGCATAAATATCTGAAAAAATATCAATATACCTATGTATATAAAAAGCACCCATAAATAGATAAAAGCCATGATATTACGAATTTATCGATCACCAAGATCAATCTATAATTGAATTAGTTTGAAAACTGTTTCTTAAACAAGAAAAATAATTATTATTCTTTTAAAACATACCGTACCTAAGCAACATAACTTAAAAAAATATAACTTTTAACTAATATAATTGGGTTATCCATGGCTTTTACTTTTCAAAAACTACATTATTGCTGACTTATCGATCACCGAAACATTTTCGATAGTCATCAATCAAATCATTCACGCGCCCATCATCAATACGCAAATGCATAGGCGGCATTCCGGGAAGACAAGGTGGGTTGCTTGTTTGTCTGGTTGTTTATAAAGCTGTCCGTCCGGATGGATGGCTGTCTGTCTATCTGTCTGTCTGTCTGCATGAGTCTCTGTCCGTGTGTACGGGTAATTGCGTATGTGTGTGCCTGTAAGTGGATGTGGTGGAATGGAAGCATGCGTGGGGCATTAAGTTATCAAGTGGAGAGATGCGAGGGCAATGGCAATGGCATCGCCAAAGAAGATGGCGTACGGTGGATTTGCGGCCAGTTCTCTCGACTGTGACATGTTTGTTTGTTTCTCAGAAGCTACAAGCATTAAAATTCGCACCCACCCGCACGCCCGCAGAATTGTAAGAAGAGCCCAGAATGGCTAAAATTGAGACGTAACAGGACGAAGGAGTCTGGCTCTGAGTAGGTGGCTTCCTCGTAAAGTTCATGGCTTGGCGGCTTGTTTCAAGTTCCGAGTACCGACTGCTACAACGTATACGACGACTGGGACGACGACGCCTTGGCTGGCAGAACAGAAAGCGTGCATTAAAAATCAATAGAAGTTACAAATGTATCCTTCCATTGGGGAAAAAAGAGCAAAACATTTGTGGCGCCATTTGTGCGCTGACAGGCTGACTGACTGACTGGCTGACTGTCCGACTGTCTGACTGCCTTACCGGCTGACTGGGTTGCCTCGACGCTCCACTGCCCACAACCTAAACGGTGGATTCTGCAACGGGCTAAAGGTGTACCGGGGAAAGAAATATGGTCAATGCAGGTGTGCCAACGTCATGGGGCGAATGGTTTTGCAGATCCCCACTCACAATAGTCGATTCAATGGGGTACAGTTTATACGGTTGCGACGAAAACGATAAAAACTTTGCAAATTTGGAAGGAACAGGAAGATAAGTGATCGATTACTGGTTAGTCGAAGAAATTAAATAACGTTAAGTGCCTTTTAAACTTTTTAATTGGAAAAACCATTTGTATTGAATAAAAAGGTTAAAGAAAAGTAACAATTTAAAGGTTAAGAAGGCAGGACAGAAATTAAAGATAATTTGGGATCGATTGCACCGATTAAAACGATTACATATCGATATTTTTTAAGCGCAAATCAGAAATAGATTATTGAAATAAAATGCATCTAAATTATATAATTAAAAAAAAAGGAATTTTTATGCATAAATCGAAGTGATTTTTACAATTTGATACAAATATCTCAGTGGGTTTTAATTCAAGAATTTCTAATGAAGTCCATATGTCAAACCTGTAAAGCTTAACTAATTGGATTCCTTGTAATGGTAAATTCACCTTTCATTAGTTTTTCCCTACATCAACAATCCATTTACTCGATACTCTTGAAGCCATGTTAAGTAAACTCTTGGAATGTCCAGATATTGAAGGCAACAAGTCCAAATTGATGCTCAAGTTACGCCAGCTATTTGATGACAGTTCATTGGTCCGATGACAGCAACAAAGAGCATTCATGAATCATAAATGGGACAAACATTCTTAATGGCCATCCTAGCTGATGCTCCACATACTTCACTGGAAAACAAAATGTTTCAAAAATGTGAAGCAAATTCTAAGAATGTCTATTTTTTGGTATTAGACTGTCAATCTCTTTGTGGTGAAAGATTAATGTTTTGGGATTTTATAACCTTGAGCAAAGACATTATAATCCTCGACGTTTGAACTTAAGCTTACTAGCATAAAATTCCTAGCTTAAAGTCTTTTATTCTTTTGGAATCTAACATAAGTGCCATTTTTCCGACTGTATTTGTTTGTATGTATGCAGATGAAACGTTATATGTTCCTTCGTATTGGCCATCGAATGTCCATAAAACAAAATTTGAATGCGAACCGTAAACAACGAAATAAGCAAAATAATTTGTTATTTTTATGTCGTCCTTCTGCTCCGTTTTCCATGAACAGCAGCTCAAATTACGTATCCGATGTGTGGGCACTTCTTGGGCATCGGACGTCCCAAATCCGACATAAGTGTCTGATTAGTGCGAGCGGACTTCTCCACTTACTTACCTTCGACGGTTGGGCCTCATAAATCCATAAGGAACTGACAAAACCGAAGGCACAAGAAGCTCCAGTAAAATCACTTGCCTTTACTTTTCCTTTTTTTCCTTTTCGAAGTTTATGTCTGTCGATTGCCCGGCTTACGAGGGCTTTAGATCAGCGCGGCGCCATGTCCCGGAGCTCCCGGGATTTTCTCCGTCCGCAAACCCTTATCCTTACCTTCTATACGCCATCCACACGCACATATGTATGTATATATTCTCGGTTCCGCTCTAGCTTCCTGCTTAATGGCCAGGGCCATGTTGTACCAAACAATTCAATTTATATAATCCACTGGACGGACAGTGGGTGCTTCTGCTCCTCCTCCGTTTGTCCGATTGTCCGGTCCTCCGTTCCAGGTTAATGTGTCACAGACAGACATCCACGGAGGATGCGAATGTCACGTTAAACGTATCACGTAACCGGATGCGTGTTACATATTGCTCGGCTCCCTTTTTTTATCCCGATCCCTTGAGCTTTCAAAGTTGCATTTGACTTGTATAACCCCATTTATGCAAACGTAGATTTGATTGAATTTTTGTTGAAAATAATTACGTTTATTCACGAACGTAAATCTGGCAATTAAAGCTTCAATTGTTGCCACAAGAGACGTTCAATTTAGTATAACAAAAAACTATTCATAATTGCAAAATCAATTTACTATTCGGCACGCGGCGCAAAAGATAATGATTCGTTGTGTCAGAGAAATTTTACCAATTGAATTTAATTTCCCAAATAGGTTTTAATAAAATAATATATAATAATATATATATTATTTTGGATATTATTGCTCATTTTATGTTTTGTATGCAAAACAGTTTCGCTCGTTGCTAAAAAATTAAGTAAACAAAAGTATTTCAATAAGCATAAAAAAATTTTATTTTTCTGTGTACAAAAAGCTAAAATAGTTGTCGGTCTTATGATATCATAACAAATTGGTTTTTAAATAAAATTCTAAACAAATGTTTGATAATGAGCATACATTTATTTTAGTTTTGTAAAATGATCATGAAAAAAATTAAAGGCTTTCCCCATAAATTTATATTATTTTTCACTTTATTATAGTAATTTTGAAAATGAAAATAGAAGTTTTACTTAAAAACATACAATTCTTAAGCTTTTAAAAAAAAATCCACCAATCGATTGTGGGAGGATAATTAAATTCTTCCCCTGCCCCCGTTGGAGTTTTTCTGTCGCCCTGTTGTGTTGTACCTGTACTTGTACCTGTTTCTTTTGTGGCACCTGTCCTGGTCAACTGCTACTGAACCCAGTCGGTGTTTATTTAATTCGCGTTAATTTTTATTAATTTTAATTGAAAGCTTTACGAGCGTTTAGCTGGGCGCTTTGAGGCCCCCCTTTTCGTAACTCACCCCCTTTTGAGCCTTTGTTTGAGCATAACTTTGTTTTTGTTGTTTATATTATTTTTTTCTCTGCCTGAATTGTTCTTGGTTTATGTGCTCAGCTGCAGTTCTAGCTCACTCTCTTCATCTCATTTGCCCCTCTCTTCCATTTTCACTCGCCGCTTGACTCTCGTCGTCTTTGTTGTTGTGTTTTAATACCCTGCTCTGTTTTTATACCCTTGCAGAGGGTATTATAATTTCAGTCAGAAGTTTGCAACGCAGTGAAGGAGACATCTCCGACCCTATAAAGTATATATATTCTTGATCAGCATCACTAGGCGAGTCGATCTAGCCATGTCCGTCTGTCCGTCTGTCCGTCTGTCCGTCTGTCCGTCTGTCCGTCTGTCCGTCTGTCCGTCCGTTTATATGCAAACTAGTCTCTCAGTTTTAAAGCTATCTGCATGAAACTTTCCCAAAAGTTGTCTTTCTATTGCAGGTAGTATATAAGTCGGAACGAGCCGGATCGGACGACTATAGCATATAGCTCCCATAGGAACAATCGGAAAAATAAATGAAAAAAAATTATAACTTTGCTGTTTTTTAATTTTTTGTTTAGTTCTTCGACATTTAGTAATGGTTAAATATTTCCGATTTACGGTTTAAATTTCATCAAAATCGGACGACTATAGCATATAGCTCCCATAGGAACAATCGGAAAAATAAATGAAAAAAATTATAACTTTGCTGTTTTTTAATTTTTTGTTTAGTTCTTCGACATTTAGTAATGGTTACATATTTCCGATTTACGGTTTAAATTTCATCAAAGTCGGACGACTATATCATATAGCTCCCATAGGAACAATCGGAAAAATAAATGAAAAAAAATTATAACTTTTCTGTTTTTTAATTTTTTGTTTAGTTCTTCGACATATAGCAATGGTTAAATATTTCAGAATTATGGTTTAAATTTTATCAAAATCGGACGTCTATATCATATAGCTCCCTTAGAAATAATAAAAATATATAAAATAACTATCAAATAATTGGGCTGCAAATCATCATAGCTTCAATGTTTTTAAACATATACGAAAGTAAATCATAATTTTTATGTTTTCAAAAATGTTTAATTCTTGCAATAGCTGCAAGGGTATATGAACTTCGGCTTGCCGAAGTTTGCTTTCTTTCTTGTTAGTGTTGATTTAGTTGTTGTTTTTGTTTGGAGACTTTTGTTGAGTGCAAAGTGCTTA